TATGTTAGACTATAAGGTATATATTTCTATGGGCCTACGATGCCTGAATACAAAAAAAAAGCGAGTTTTCAGCTCGAATTAGAAATCTCATCTGGGGAAGTCAGGTTACTCCACTCCACAGAAGATCACAGTAAATTAACTACCTTATGGTGGTGTTGTGTTTCTTTGGTAAGGTTCCAGGGCTCTATGGGGTGGAGGGCTAGGTCAAGGTAGGCAATGGTATCACTCGCACAGACCTGACCCAATTTTATAGTGGCTCACGCAAAACAGGCACCATAACAAGGGCGGATCCAGCTTTGGCGCCAGGGGGGGGGGGTCATATAGCCAGCTTTGGCGCCAGGGGGGGGGTCATATAGCCAGCTTTGGCGCCAGGGGGGGGGGGTCATATAGCCAGCTTTGGCGCCAGGGGGGGGGGGGTCATATAGCCAGCTTTGGCGCCAGGGGGGGTCATATAGTCGTGGTATATTAAATATTGAAAGTACTTAAATAGAATCCCCCTGGGTTTGGTCCATCTGTACCCAGCCCAGGGGGGGGTCATGACCCTCCCCCCCCCCTGGATCCGCCCTTGCACCATAAGGACGTCGAAATGCGGAAACGCCCGTTGCAAGAAGAAAAAGGCTATGGTGGCTCCTTACCTACCATCTGGCGGGCCACACGCTTGACGCTTGCCTACCATATAACATAAAAAACCTTGATGTTTTGAACAATTAATATATTTATTAATTCATTCCATAATTATTAAGACACAATATTTATTATTAAATACAATTATTAACGCTTATCATATTTAACATAATATGGTACATAAATCTTCCAATATCCGTTAGGGTTATTAAATCTTCATTTGAATTGTTGTTTTAAGGCTTCTGACACAATATGAATCTTTCTGCTTCATTCTGGAAAGAAGATATAGATATTTTATTATAAGAACGTTCTTATAAACATCTATTTGGTCACAATATAAATAATAAATAAGTGCCTACTCCTTTTGCTACCGTTTTGCACCTGCAGCCTGTAGCTGACTTTCTTGAGCAAGCATAATAAATAATAATAAAATAAATAAACAAATATTTCCAACACTCACATCAATTAGCCTAGCTCCAAAGTAAGCACTATAAGGCTTGTGTTATGGGACACTAGGGTAACGAATAGAATACATATAATGTACATATATAAGTTTTATTTATACATAAATACATAATAAACATCCATGACTGGAGTACAAATGCTCGTATTCATCACACAAACATCTGCCCCCACCGGGATTCGAACCCAGGACCTCTCGAGTCGGCGACACCATGAAACCCGGCGTACAAACCACTCGGCCACGGAGGTCGTTTGCTAATAAGAGATAATAAAGGGTCAGCGCTGTCTGACATGTCACTAGTGTTTCTGGATAACGTGAGACTCAACCAATCCCACGTAACTTTTGATGTTAAATAATATTTTAACATAATGCTCTGCTAAATTCTCTAAAAGTTGGTAAGGGGTAACTCAAATCCAAAACGCCTCCCTCACCTGAATCATCTTGTAGATAGCCGCTATGGCTTCGTCGTTTCTGCAGGACACGGTGCCAGCAATGGCAGCTCGTTTACCCCCCCAACTTGACGTGAACGTGAGCTGAGCTTCCACCGCCGCGCAGACGCACGCCACCACCACGAGTAAAACCAGGAGCTTATACATGTTTCTTGCTGTTTGAAGTTGAGACTCGTTGCTAAGTTCAGCGAGTGATGCTCTAACAGAGCCAACTCAACTTTTTATACGAACAGATGAAACCAATGAAGTTCATAATTTGTTTCTGATTAGTTTCGCTGGCGTCAGTGGTTGCCATGATTGCTTTAGTTTCGGGCGTAGTAAGGGTTCGTTATTTTTAAATTAGTCACACAAATAAATATATGTAGCTAGGTATATTATCACAGTAGGCACATGTATCTATTAAGTAAGGTATATCCTTGTATCGCTACAAAAACATATTTGATATGTTATTTTCATAGAAGAATGATCGGTCTCGCTTCACGTCGAGCGAAGCGATACCAATCGTTTATCTATGGCTATTTTATACATTTTGTTTATATTGCTCTGATTTTGGTATAAAGGACATTGGGCAAAAATGTATAGACGCTGCACTCACGTCAGCCACGGCTTAAACTACATTTGTTTGAAAGGTATTTTGATCATGATCATCTGTGCCAAAGCGCATTAAATTCCATTATTTCTTGTTAGGTCTTTAGTTATTTTTAGTTAAATAGGCTCAAGTATTATAACGAATGAACATTAATGAAACAAGGGAATTAATTTAGTTAGTTTGACCGTACATAGGGGGCTCAGGTATTATGGGAGTACTTCACAAGGTGCAAGGGGCACCCTTATGTTATTCTGCCGCGCTAAATCCAAAAATCCCTGCTTGGGTTGAGGTTTTTCAAACAGTCTGTTCGTTATAGTAAATTGTCTTCTATGTAAAACGGAGTGAACAGAAATCACACAAACTTGGCCGCGCTTCGGAGAAAACATGATTCCAGTACATATATTAATTGACAAAACCGATAAAAAGAAAAATCAAGTGACAGGGAGCGCACAATCACAACGAAGTAAGACGAGTCGACTATTTGCAACTGAAAGTCCTTCAACTCCCGTAAGCCGTCTTGTGATGGCTCAGTAAATGTAAGCGCAGGATGGTCGTATATCTGGTTGTATAGAACGATATAGCCAAATTATTATGGTTACTAATAATATAAAATGAAGGTACTATAAAGTTAATTAATTTAGCTACTTAAATATGGATATTTTTTACGGTGTCATAATAAAAAAGGTTAGTTTTTTATAGACCTATCGATTTATACTAATTACATTGTTGGCGGAGCTGGTTGTGTTTTGCCCATTGTCCTTTTTTAGGAACGACTACCATAGACGTTCCAGTAATCAGTGTGACCAAAATAAATTTTACCAACATACCGAATTTTTACTCAAAAAAAAACTGAAATATACTGACTTGTACAGAGAAAATAAACCCATAAAAATACTGATTTTCAAAACAGGATTATTCATTCATGAACACATTTTTATTTATAAATATGTTTCTTTACACTCTTTTGTATATATTTTTTCTGTGAAAATGTGGGCTTGCGTGCAATATTCGATACTGGAACTATTTTAACAGAGCTTTACTAAAACTAGTCATATTTTTCTATTTAACTATATTGTATACTATACTACAACCTACTTAATAATATACATGTGAAAGTTCGCAGTTTTTGTGTGATTGATTGAACAGTCAATCAATCACACAAAAACTGCTGAACGGGTTTAGATGAAATTTGGTACGCATATAGATTTTGGTTTGAGACATAGGATACCTACCTCTTATGCCGGAAAAAAATATGTATGTGGGAATTCCAAAAAACTAAAAGAATGCGGACGAAGACACGGGCGGCCGCTAGTTAACTATATCATTATTAATTTTATTTTATTATATTTAAAGAAAAACACGCGCTCTATATGGCGACTATAAAGACGTACTACTTCAGTGCAATTCCTAAATTCCTTAATAGGTTAGGCCAACAGAACTGCAGAACAGAAATTATTTATTAAATGAGAACGACCAACAGATACACATAAACACTCAATAAAAGAGCTCTTGAATGTTCGTGATCTACTCTCCGCCAGCTTACGTGACCCGTCATGATTGCCATATTTTTTTTAAACCTAATACATAGGAATTAGGATTTCGTCTCAGAGTGTCTTCGCCGCGCCTTTCCCAGTGTGAGCTACGCCTTAGAGTTCCTTTAACAAAAGAATCTCAAAAAGATTGATTTTAATTCTGTCTTTGCAAAGGTTTATTTAATGATTGAAATGTCTTCTGCCGAAAAGACACATTGAGTGTTTACTTTGTCTCAAGTATTGATAAATAAGGATAAATATGAGTAAAGGAGATTGCTCAAATTGGCCCAAATGCACAAAAAAATATTGACATATACGGTAATTCTTGGACGTTTCGGACGAGTCCGAAACCAAGACCTCAACGTAGGCGACATCTTTATTAAGAACTAGTGGCCCGCCCTCGCTTCGCTTTGGTGTAGAGCTGTAGAGTAAACTATAGTTTTTATTCTCAGGCTTGTGCTATAAGAATGACTTTATTTATATAATTACACGTGTTATTGTGAGTCAACCATAAAAGATAGACATAATTATGCTGTTGCGGGATATTTTTTAGACAATTTTATGTAGAATATTTCCGTCATACATGATTTCTATGTAACTTTAACCATTAAGGCTGCACCCGCGACGGAAGCTTAAAAAATGGAGTAACTTCTCCCGTTTTCCCAACATTTCCCTTCACTACTCTGCTGCTATTGATTGTAGCGTGATGAAAAGTATACTATAACCTGCCCAGGAGTATGAAGAATAATTGTACCAAGTTTCGTTAAAATCCGTCGAGTAGTTTTTGTTTCTATAAGGAACATACACACAGACAGACAGACAGACAGAAAGACAGACAGACAGACAGACAGACAGACAGACAAAAAATTTACTGATTGCATTTTTGGCATCAGTATCGATCACTAATGACCCCCTGATAGTTATTTTAAAAATATATTTCATGTACAGAATTGACATCTCTACAGATTTATTATAAGTATAGATTGCAAAGGCTGTGTGTTTGCAAACGATTAGGTTTTAACCTTGTACGAGGACGGTAAGGAAGAACCTTCACGTGGTAGTCCAACTAGCACTTTTAACGTTTTATTAAATTCATTTTTGTATTTTTGGCAGAGTTTTTAAACATAATAAAAGTTGACAATTAATTCTCTGAAGTTTTTGAGTAGGTACCATGACGAAATCCCACAATGTTTGTTCGGTGACGACAAAGTAATGTCATCATGCGTCTCTGAAACTGTGCGGTCTTCATTTGATTAATTCTACAACTCCACATTTTAATTGTGCCCGAGTATATAAAAGTAAGAACAGGGAATCTTTTCATTCATTCCGGGAACGACCTTAGAGACAATTTGATGTAAAAAGAGAAGTCTTTATAAAAATCTTCTATTTTGATCGCTCTTTCTGTGTCACTACGTATATTTGTCGTCAACTCCGAAAGCGTTAAAGCATGGGGCGTCCTCTGCTGTTTGCTGTTTTACTGGCAATACTGGTGGTGGTTTCCGACGCCCAGTTGACCTTCAGCACTGGCTGGGGTAACGGGAAGAGGTCAGTGAATACAGACTTCGGTAATGACCCTTGCACATCCGAGGAGAGCCTGTACGTTATATACAAACTGATTCAGGTTAGTGCTGATTTGTTTGTCAAAGTCTTCGTAAACTATACGCTTATTTTGAGAGAGGTAGGGCATAACGGCCAGGGAGGGGGTAGGAACTAGTGTTGCCAGGTCCAATTTGTTTTAAATCGGTACATGAGGTCAAAACAATCGGGATTTAGGGTTGCAGATCGGACCAGTAAACAAAAAACAAGGGTTTTTTCTAGTCAAGTTGTTCAAGTCTGGGTTTAATTTATTGCGTTTTAAACTACTAGTGCAAGTATAGTATTACAGTAGATCCGCGGTAATCCGACAAAAGTTTTGCAGGGCGATGTCGGATTATCGAATTTGCGGATAACAGAGTACTGTCTAGGCCCACTCTTAAGTCTCTATCGTCCGGATTTTTTTGGAATAAGAGTACCTTGTAATTTGGCAAATTACAAATCTAAAAATGTATTTCAATTTATTTTATGTGTAAATCAACAGTGATAAGCGTGCCGGATTAGAGGGGGTGCCGGATTAGACCGGGTCCGGATTACCGCGGGTCTACTGTATATTAATTACCTCAATTGCATTTTTTGATTAATCGGGACGCGTCCCCAGAACCCTGAAAATGGGGACGTCCCGCGCAAATCAGGACACCTGGCAACACTAGTAGGACCCAGGCGACTCATAACTGGATACCGCCGTTACGCCTGGAGGGTAAGGGGTTCCAATGCATGCCAACTTAAAAATGGTTAATAATTTGACAACCTCCTTCGCCGAGTGGTTTGTACGCCGGGTTTCATGATGTCGCCGACTCGAGAGGTCTCGGGTTCGAATCCCGGTGGGGGCAGATGTTTGTGTGATGAATACGAGTATTTGTACAGTCATGGATGTTTAATATGTATTTCTATATAAATATACTTATAAACGTACAGTATATGTATCCTATCCGTTACCCTAGTATCCCATAACACAAGCCTTAGGCATTGTCCTAATACAACGCGATAACGCAATCATCGCGCGTTTAAACGATGCGACCAAATGAATCCGGGTCACATAAAGAATCCCAAAAATCTCGTAAACTAAGAATACTAGCGCTAATGAAATAAATTGTGTTGAATAGACAATTAAAAAATACTCTTTAAATGAAAGTAATAAAATTTATGAGTCACCACATTACAAAAAATACATTAAAAAAACTGGCAGATCTCGCCTGAAAATAAAAATAAGAAACATGTCATTTTATAACATTACGATTTTCTTGAATTTTAATACTTCGTATTGCCTCTTCGTGCTTCCATTGCTGCGTTTACCCGGTTTGGCATGCTGTACACGAAGTTTCTTATTCGATTTTGGGGAATATTCTCCCATTCCTCTGTGAGAGCAATTTTGAGCTCACGAAGCGTAATTGGGGGAGGGTTCGTTTTTCTAGCATCTTACTAGCTCTTCCCAAACATGCTCGATCGGGTTGATATCCGGGCTGCGTGCTGGCCACTCCATACGAGTAATGTTCTTTTCTTGAAGGTAGTCACAATCCAACCTTTATGAGGTCGGGCATTGTCATGCATAAAAATAGCATCCTCACTCAAATTGATCATAAATGAAATTAGAATAATTTAATTAGAAAATAAAAGTAGTCTGAAAAGCGTCAAACTTTCGTAGGTAATTCTATACAAGGAACACAACGAAACCCTAAAGTTTTATTTCGGACTTTTGTCACACCCTGTATACTCTTTGTCTTCCATCGTGCTTGTAGAGCATAAATTTTGATTCGTCGGAGGACGTAACTTTTGTCCAAACATCAATGGTCCAATTTAAGTGGTTCTGGGCATATCTTAGTGTTGAAATTCGATGCCCACGCTCCAGTTTAGGGCCGTTTGCAGGTCTAAATGGTTTCAAGCTAGCTTCAGCAAGTCGTCGTCTTACTTCCCATGTGCTTGGTTTACTGCCTCCGAGGCGTCGAAACTGATTTGTAATTTCAGTTCCTGTGAGAAAGCGATTTCGAAGCATGGTGTTCACCAAGTGTCGATCTTCTCGTGCTGTGGTACACCTGGTTCTACCTGTTCCTGGTTTGCCTAGGTAAGAGCCAGATTCCTCGTAACGTCGGAGAACTCTTTGTACTGTTGACAGCGACACACCGACAGTCCTGGCTGTATCGCGCTGACTCTGGTTTCCAGCATTGTGAGAATTCTGGTGCATTCGTTAGGTGTAAGCGGCATGATTACAGCTTGAATAATTTATTATTGAAAACGATCGACATGGTTTATGTTAATGATAAATGACAGATTAGAAACAAAAGCAAAAACAAATGCAGAAATTTCGTAGCTCCATCTTCGAAAGTCTTCCTTTTTCATATTTGATTTTTTATGATATAACTTTACAATAACTAAGAAGTTTTAATATCTTCATTTAAGGAGTTTTTAATTATCTATTAATTAGAATTTATATCATTCAGCTAGCATTCTTAGTTTGCGAGATTTTTAGGATTCTTTAGGAGGAGGATTCATTGCTCTCGAGGGTGATATGACAAAAGATTGGTTGAAAGTTGTTGTACAACTTTGCTTCAAGAGGTCTATCTATCTTGTGATGAGGCAGTGAAATTTGGCACCCAACGTGGAGCAAGGGATAACTTTAAATTAAATTTGACATGTTATAGAAATGAAATGCCATTGATTGAACTGAAATATCAACCATATACTGAAGAAGTGTTTTTAAACAAGATTTCATCTTACCTTTTGTCTAGCACTTTAATGTAGCACGACTGTGTAGTGTTTAGCGCGTTTAGCGTTTAGCGCGTCGTCTGCAATTGTAGAAGTAGAAGTCAACTTTCGCAAAGGCCGGCCATAAGATAGCTGACTAAAAATTTTTCATCTCTTACTCTCCTGTGTTTTGAGGGGCGAGTTAGGTTGTTGGTCCCAACTGCATCTGCACTCTTTGGCCCGTGTGATGTATCATGGACCGTTCTCCCTATTCCATCCATAGGCAAGGCCTTTTTTTATACGCAGGCAAAAAATACTGTTTACAGACGACGGCGCCTTTAAAAGGCACACCGCCGAACGGACCTCACACCTGGCTCCCGCAAGCCTTACAAGCCCCAGCAGTGGCTACCCACTGAGGACCCCGTAACTCTTACGGGCGCTTTACGGCATAATATTCGCTAAAAACCCTGCGAATACACTCTAAGCTGCTTAGCGCGAAGTCGCGGGATCCCCGTTTAGGGATTCTTCCGCGTCTCCGCACCTAGCAGCCTCCCGGCCTAGCCGGGGTTCCACGGCAGGGGTCTCCCGGGGTATCGCGGTGACCCCGCAGACGTGCGCAGGATGGCCCGCGCGTGGGGGCTGAGTACGCGGCCTAGTGCCCACCGTACCGCCCCCCGTCCGCTTCATCCATAGGGGAGGCCTGTGCCCTAGAAGGGGGACATCAATAGACTGATGGTGAATCTCCTTATTATATACATATTGAAAAAAAAAAATACTGTCCATTTAATTTAGCAGACGTTATTTATTTCTTCTTACGCTTTCACGAACATCACGGATTAAATAAAACAAGTTTCAACGGGTTAGATGCACTGATTTTATTTATTTATTGACGTTTCGCATCCTTTGCCGGTATGCGTCGTCAGAAGAATGATTTTTTATTTACTTTGTCGAGCTACCTTTAAAAGACTTTCTGCGAAACGTCAATAAATAAATAAAATCAGTGCATCTAACCCGTTGTAACTTGTTTTAATTAGCAGAAGTTATTAATAGGGCTGATGACTAATTTTTTTTTCTTCGTTTATCAGGTAGATTATCAAGAAGTATTGGACACGTATTTTTTCTTTTTTCACATAATATAAACATTGCAGAGTTATATATTGATTTGAAAAGCCGCATGACGTCACGTTTTGGTACAATTTTCATTTAAAAGTGACGTCACGAGCCTCTACTCCCAAACTTTGACGCGCTAAAACTTTGTCATTTTTTGGTTGATTGCCCAAAGAAAAAATACGTGTCCATTATTTTTTGATCATCTAACTGACGGACTATATAGAATTTCGTTTACTGTACCCCGTCATCACCCCTATTATATGACGTTAACGAGATGCTTCATAATACTTAATCTTAATTTTTCTTTTCAGTCTGAAGGAGAAAGGCTAATATCGTGTAGAGATGGTGGCAAAAACTAGGAAAAATGCAAGCATAGTAAATAAAGAATCTGCCAGTTCCATGCCTATGATGAATAAAGAAAGATGGAAAATAATGAAGAGAAACTATATATAGATATAAATGTTAATAGTCGTGTCGATTCTGACACAAGGGCGGATTCAGCTTTGACGCCAGGGGGGGGGGGATCATATAGTCGTGGTCAAGTCACAGTGGGTCTGTACCCACTCTGTATTGAGAAGTAACCAGTAACCAGATTGGGTACAGATGGACCCAGCCCAGGGGGGAGGGGGGGGGGGTCATGACCCCCTTTAACCCCCTCCTCCTGGATCTGCCCTTGTTCTGACATGACTCTCTAAACTTAAACTTGACAACGGAGAATCATTTTCATTCTCTATACAGAATGAAGAGAAAAGACAGATGTTAAATATTGTTTTAAGTTTTAAGAATCATGCCAGAATCAACACCAATTTAATATTAGTGTAAGTTTAGATTTAAGAGAACGATGACTCTGTTAGGCACTACGTTATTTCCGATTTTGTTTGCTAGTTGTACCTATACTTAATAACCATTATGTGATAGTTAATTACTCATGAAAATTATTTATAATGGTAGTAGTATCATAAATAATCTTCATGAGTCATTACCCAATGAATCAATTTATCATCAGATCTTCAGACTGAACACCATCATCAAAATGCTGCAACTCGGTTTCTGGTGTGCAGCGCCGGCTCAGGGTAGTGCGAAAGAAGACCTGTTACTTATGCCGTTATGTGGCAGAGGACACTAAAACTAAAATGCAAAAATATTTTCGAAAAACAAAATGAACGCGTTTCATTGCTGTCATTCAAACGTCGATCATATAGGGTACATTTATTTTCAAGCAACTTCGCTCTACCCAGAGGCCGCACGTCTGATAGGTACATAGGTATTCATAAAATTAACATATTCACGATATTATTGGGAACTTTGTCGTGTCCTGTCCTACTCTCAGAGACGTATTTGCAAATCTGGCGCCCCAGGCAGCTTACGATTTGTTTTCTAAGAATTAGTAAATCAAATAAAAATATAAGTCAGTAACGAATGACTTTTTAAAGCCTGTACCATCCTTCGTAGCTCCTGCAGCCTGTCGCCCTAGACCATGGTATTTTGCCCCTAGAGTAAATACGCCCCTGTCTTCAAATAGTTATAGTACGGACAAAAAATAAACTCTAGAGTCTGTGCGGAAAGAGAATGGGATTTAGATTGGAGGGCGCTGTAGTGCTTTTCTACCGTATTTGTAAGGTTTTACCCCTTTTAGACATGATTAAATACAAAAAATCGCTAGAAATAACAACAACAAACAAATCCGTATCAATACAAAACTTTGACGTTTTACAGATTGCTGGGTTTGATTGCCAGATAAAAATCTTAATGTTAGTTCCGTTTTTCGCCACGCCCATTCTCTTTCCGCACAGACTCTATAACACCTTATTAATAAACGAAGAATAAGTTTGGATTAGTTACTCTATGTTTTGTCTGTGTTCATTGAATGACAAATGGCATTTGAGTGACATAAACCAAACACGGCGTAACTAGTCTCAGCTTATTCCACGTTTAGGGGGGTAAGAACGCGGGTCCTGATCAAGAGTTAAATGCTCTTGTCCATACCCATATTCTTAAGTAGGCTTCGAAGTAGTGTTGTCTTCATATACAAATTGGCTGGATTTGTCTATATGAAGGTATATTTGTTTCTTAGGTTTTCACGCTCATCACTCATTAAATATAATAGGAATGCGAAACGTCATAAATGAATAAAATCAGTGCATTTAACCCGTTGAAATTAGTTTTATTTATATGAAGGTACTCCTATGAAAGCGGTATGTTGTAAAGCGTAGTATACACCCGGCAAACTTCTTGAGTACCCTCCATAGACAAGGAAGCTTGCAGGTGCGGTCGCAGCCTAAAATTTTGGAAGGGGTCACTCACTACACTAATAAAAAATAGGTACCACTTATGGGAAGATTTGCCAGATTTTGAGAAATGTCTTTATATTTGAGTATAAATCATAATTAGAAACTTCGATGATATAATACATAGTAGTACTAGATGTCATTTCCAAGTTATTTTCCCAGTTAGGCCATCGTAGACCCGTAGTTCAAAAAACACCACTAAATGTCAGCAAACTATAAATTTATCGCTGTTAGGGGATAGCTAGAAATTCCCTGTTATTATGGCAATTTTTTGAGATTTTTCAATTTGACTTTAGATTTTGGGGAGGGTCATGTCCCCTGTGACCCCCCCCCCCTCGGACCGCGCCTGGAAGCTTGTGCAGTAGCAATTTTACATTTAAAATCGTTTACAAGGTATGTGGTTTTTTGCTCAAGAATTTTGTCGCTTCATATAACTAAATAAGTTTCATGAGGAAGTTCGATCTAAAATAAAATCATAGATAATGGGTATATTTTTATTTTATTAAAATCATTTCCAGCGCCACCTTAACGTTCTTTCCGTTAACTTAAACGACAGTAGAGGAATATGGTAAGTATTCTACAATAAGGTTAACATGACCTGTATACGTTAATTATGAAGTCGTTTAACATACAATGTTTGTATATCACATTTCATTTTGTGTCTCATTTCATTAGTTTTTTTAAATTATAATATAGTGCAAGCGGTCTTTCGAGATATGTCCGAAAGTCACTTTATTTATATTCTTAAAAGAAAAACTATTTTCCGGCATCAACTTACGAAACAGTTATTCTTTTGATCTTTAAGCCTTTTTTAGGTTTTTATTACAATTCAATAACGAATAGACATTTATTTGAAATGTTTTCGTGTGTAGCGATATGTATGAAATTTTGTTGGACACAATGAACTTCTTATAATTGACTTCATTTATAAGTTTAGATTGAGAAAAGTTCCAAAATGAAAGAAAAGTTTTACAGTGAGACAATAATATTGATAAAATTTTGAATTTTCAAATCCACTTGAGCCGTGTCACTTAAAACGTGATGTGAATTTTATAATATACAGTTGTAGTACTAGTAGTATAGTACAGTTGGAAGAAGGGAATTCTGTCTTCCCACGTTGCACATACAAGTAGAAGAATAATGGAAGGAACTTTTCATTCTTTTAGTTGGGCAGCAAACAAATTATAAGGCATTTAAGATATTCCATATTGTAACACCTACTTTAAAATCCCATTTTTTTATTTTTCTGAATAAGTTTTTGTACAATCTGTTTGAAGGTAGATCTTATCAAGAATTGTGTAGAATAGTTTTTAAATGTTAAATTCTACGTAACTTCATCACAGCCCAAGAAAACCTAATAAGGATTCATCTAAATGAACAGCAGCCGATCGTGCTCACATCTCCGCCTATGCTGTGGCAACGTACCTATATCTATAAATCTTGCTAATTCTTTACATGGAGACACTGTCGACGAAGATGTGGGCACGATCAGGCTCAAATGCCATAACTACCTACCAATGACGACACTTCACCCATCGTTAACAACCTAAAACACCTTTCACCAAAATAGGGACGGAAATAGAAAAATGAGCAAGAACCGTGAGAAATTAACCAAACGGCACAAACTTAGTTCACTTATTGAATTAACTAATTAACTGTCTAACAATATAGTGGTATCGATTCTGGATGATTCTCTAAACCTAAAACTTAATTTAACATCAGTTTGTCCCTTTCATTCAGTACGGAGAATGACAGAGATACACTGTTGTCAAATTTAAGTTTAGTTTTAGAGAATCATGCCAGAATCGCCAATAGTATTAATAAACAGAACACCGACTTTGTGACGTTAATATATACAAAGAGACATGTATTTCCACATTTAAGACAGCGATAGATATATATAGTAGTACGTTTCTCGACTCTTATAGATTTAGGACCCAAATGGCATTTAGTCATTTCATGAATAACTTCGGAACATAGTAACAATAGCGTCACAATGTTTTTGAATGAATACGGTCAGTGAAACGTACTACTCCGATATTAAATGAGGAGCTGGTGAACTAAACGGTAGAATTTACCGCCGGAATTACGGGTCACTCTTACAAACGCTAATATTAAAAATAAATTAAAAGAATACTTTTTAAACAATTTATAATAATATATTTCCTAATTACTTATACAATGTACTTATCCAAGCTCAATATATTTTGTCTATTTTAAATGTGCATTCATATCATTTTTTATTTTTTTATTAATGTAATAAAGTTACCCCGTTAGCAATTTAAATATTGTCGTGCAGGCGTACATCATCGCATAAATTCAAACCTCTGTGGTTTTATGATGCGATTGATCACATTATAATTATATTTCTTTGAAACTGGTAATAATAAAAAAAAAATATTAATAAAACTAGTTTGAACGGGTTAATGCACGAAATTTATTTATTTATTGACGTCTCGCAGCCTTTTCAGGCCTGCATCGTCAGAATAATGATTTTTTATATACTTTGTCGTGCTATCTTCGAAAGACTTTTATTGAGCGTTCGTATATTTCATTGGAAGATTTTTAAAACTTAATTGTCTATGTATGCATTTATTTAGCTAATTTAGTTAATAAAGTACATTATTTAAAATTCTTTTCTGTAGTTTTGAGTTATTTATTTGACCATAACTACCGTAATCTACCACCGGTTCCAAATTGGGAGACGTTTCTGAGAAGAACCGGCGAAACAAACTCAGAGAGGCTTTCTATCTCCTTCTTATGTTAAATCATGCATACCTACAGTGAGCTTTTGGCATGGTTTTTAATTTAGAAATTTAGTAATTTTAACACTGTTTTAGGCGGTTTTGATTGAAAATAATTTGAGATTGAAATTCAACGGGCAGGACTGTAAAAAAAAATGTTTGACCAGTTGCATAATTATACCGTTTTGTTCGCCAGCTCCTCATATAGGAAACATTAAATTATCTATAGTGTTTACTGTTTCCACGTAAATACGTGATACGACATAAAGTAAACACAGATAGAAATCTTTATAATAAGTTGTTACATTTAATATAGATAACTGTACAGTGAGCGACACAGGTGTAGAAAGTTGTAGGCCCAATTATATACACATTTACCACGCACCTACATTTCTCATCAAAAGTTTTGATTTCATTTGTGATGTTGATGAGGTAATAATATCATCGAGATAAACGTCGCAGGAAAATAAAATTACTTCTGTTTAGTCA